TGAGAGACCGCCTCCTGCCATTCACCTCCCAACGACCAATAAGATCGCACAGGATGGGCCTGCCATCGACCAGACAATGCTGGCTGGCGGCTCCCCGAGGGAGGGCCTTCTCTGTAGCTGCACTGGCCTTATGGAACGAGCTACCCACAGAGATCTGGACCCTTACCACTCTCCCGGCCTTCCGTAAAGCGACCAAGACCTGGCTGTTCCAGCAGGCCTGTGGCTGTTGATTGAAATCCAGCCCCACGTGATTCAATGGATGATATATTATTTTAAATAATTGTATTTTTTATGTTTTTATGTCTTTGCTTTTGTTGTGAGCCACCCAGAGTCCCTGGGGAGTGGGCAACATACAAATCTTATTAAAGTTGCAAAGTTGCAAAAGAATTGCATTTTCAGCTAGTAGTTTATCATCTTCTTCCAAGCCCTGATCTAGATTGCAGGCATTCCTGTCTCACAACATGTTGCATTAAGTGCAGTAAAGACTGAGCACAAAATTTTGTCTGCACTGATTCCAGGGTATCCTTCTTCACATAAATTCCTACTTGTGCTCTATAAAAGAATGGCCTCAAAAAGTTTTAAATGCTGCAGGGTTTAGATGAAATTCAGCACTGGTATATATTATATTTCATTTAGTTCATATGGAATGTTATGCCCCCTTGTTACTATAAAATAAAAAAGTCTGAACATAACTTTACAGTAAACTCACGTCTGATATTTGTTAAACTTCATGTCAATCAATTCTAGACAGTGATTGTGATTTGCCTTTGCAGTTAGAGTTTTGTATTATTGATCTTGGACAATAAATTCCTTGTCATTTCCAATGTTCAAAGTTTCTTATTTCCCACTTATAACCCCTTTATGCTGAGCAAACTTAGTTTCAGTTTGTGAGGAACAATCCTTATATTTGCCTCTGTCCTCTTTCATCTAAATCATAATTTCAGGACTGAAAGCAGTTTGCATTTTGTTGGGGGCCATGGTTGAGTCTGAACTGTTGCCCTTGTTCCCTTGGACTCTTCCCATCAGTTCTGAATCCAGGAGAAAGGAGGGTTCATTCAGATTTTATGTCTGCCTTTTTGCTTCATGCAAGAATATATATTAAAAGTCCTGGCAGATAATTCTCTAGTCTAGACCATGCTTGATTACATCCACTGAATGTTGATTTCTGTGGCAGCACAATGAAATGCCATTAACCTTATCTAGCAAAGTTGCTCCTATATTTTTGGTACATTTTGGTACATATATGCTTTGCCCCATGCATGACATACCACATAGAAGTGTAGATCAGGCCAACTATAATCAGAGGTCAAAAACTCTAGACAGTAGGTGCAGTTCCATGTTTGTACCTCTTGGTTTGACTTTTTTGACCATGACCCATTTCTGGAAATGTGCCTAATGACAATTTTTCAACTTTTAAAAATATTATATTATATTAAGACTTTTTGTTTAGTCAGGCATTGTAATTGTCTGTTTAAACTTGTTAATTCTTTCATCTTAATTATGACTTGCTTTCATTATGTTATGTAAATGTTTTAATATGCATAACAATATAAGAAGGTTTTAAAATGTTTAAATATAATCAATGGATCTTTTGTGTCATATTTAATTTTATTAAATTAAATATTTTATTTTCTGTAATAAGTATTTTTGTGCATGTATGCTTCATTACATCTTTTATCAAATAGTAAACAGAAGAATAAAACCAGATATTTATAGACACACAGATACATACATGAACAAAGAAAAGACATAAAAGGAAAAATACATTTGTTAGCAACCCAAATAGTTGCCAGAAAAGTACAGACCACGAAGAGTAAAGGTTTGGGATTTTTGTTTTGCCTCTGGCTCTGTTTTGATGTATGCCAGTTATATGCTGGTTTCTTGTGTGTTTTTAGTTCAATGCTTGATTTTTCATCAGATTTTATGGTCCTATTTCATAATGTTCATGTATTAAGTTGCTGTTTAAACATTCCCTCCAGCAATTAAGATAAGATTCTATTTTTTTTAAAAAAAAACATGCTGTGAAAGAATTGTTCAGGAATTGAATGTAATGTTTTTCTTTTTCTTCTCATTTCTTTTCTTTTTGTTAATAAACACAGTAGAGTCATAAACTGAAAATTTTATATCATGAACTACAATAGAAAATGTAAATATTTTCCATAAATTTGAATGAAATATAGATTCCATTTGAAAATATCATACCTAATATTTCAGGCATTATAAGACCATTTAAAATATCAGTATCTTCTGAACTTGGCAATAATTACCCTTGAAGGAATTCTAGGAAAGTTGATGATAAGATGATTTCAGAAGCCACATCCCAATTCCAGAAAATGCATATTTTAGAATGTTTGCAATAAATTAATGAGAATATTAAGAGTATTTGCTCAAGAATCATCAAGCTAAACAAGTATGATTCCTTCAAATGATGGGGAGAAATATTACAGGGACATTAAGTTTTTGTAATAACAAAAATAATGGGTAAATGTTTGTTTATGTTAATGTAAAACGTAAGTGCCAGAAGCAACACAGGGATATGTGACATTACTGGTGGCACCCATAGGTTCTCAAAAATAAAAATTAACAATCATTTAGTAAAAGTGGCTGAAATTTCAGATCACCGTATCCCATGATTTGATGTTTTAGTCTGAAAGGCTAGAATTGTTTGATCTAAAATGCCAAGAGCATGTAAGATGTTTAATAATAATTTTAAAAATAAGCTTAGACTGTACAATTTCAGGACACTTTGGCCATTTGTTAATTTTTGCAACATCTTTGCTGTTGTGAAAAATTGGAAGTAGTACATGGTCTCTGTAAAGATTGCCAACATCTGGTGCTAAGTCAACATTTGGATTAACCTAGACTAGCCATTGAACAATGCTTAAAATCAAAACTGCATTCAGGACTATATAATAATAGTATCACAGTGACTAATTTATCCTATAGTTTTTAATAAGTGACTCATATACTGACAATATATTAGAATATATTCAAAAAGATCATGTTAGCAAATGTATATTTCAGGTTCATCTGTTGTTGCTTCAGAACAGATACGAATACAGGAATGATAATTGAAGCAATTTATCATTAGTGTTTACAGAATAATATAATAATTTTAACTAACATCCCGAGGAAGATAACACCCAAGGAATTTCTCTTCTTATTGCATAATTGCTTTATTGTCAAATTACCTGAATTAGTTGATCATGCAGTTTATTAGAATACATTTGCCTTATCCTGTATGTTCTAAAGTGTTAAACTGCTGGACATTTTTTTTAAAAAAAATCTTGGATTAAAAATATTCCTTATTACAGGATCATGCTTTACAATAACTTCCCCATCTTTTTTTTTTAAAAAAAACCCAAACCTGAACTTATTCTGTAATCATCTTTTTGATAATGTATACATTGCACTATTTCGTTCTGCCCTTTGCAAGATCTTTAAAGGACAGGCTAGGTATGAATATGAATATAAATATGAATATGCTCATACGCATGGACACAGATATATTGCATCTTTGACTAAGGCCTGTTATCTTCTAACAAGTTCATATAACTAAACCAAATCTGGCCTATGTAATACCGTTTGTAATGAGAAATCTAAACAGGGAATGGCAGTGAGGCATGACAGGAATGTGTTTCCATTGGAGAATTCAGTATAGAGAAAAAGTATAAGCAAGCCCATGTCCAGAAGGCCTTTTCAGCTGGCCAAGACGGAAGACTAATGTTATTGTACATTTGTTGTCACTGTGCCAGCCCTCCCTCACTGTTTTCTCTTATTTTCTTTTCTTTTCTTTTCTTTCTTTCTCTTTCTTCATTGCTTTCCTTTTCTTTCTTTCTTTCTTCTTTTTATTCTTCTTCTTTTCTCTCTCTCTCTCTCTCTCCCTCCCTCCCTCCCTCTCTCTCTCTCTCCCTCCCTCTCTCTTTTCACCCCCCTTCTGTTAACTGTTTGCTCAGGTGGACAGTGACACCATTTGGAATGAGCTGCATTCGTCCGGTGCTGCACGCATGGCTGTTGGCTGTGTCATCGAATTGGCTTCCAAAGTAGTCTCAGGAGAGCTGAAGGTGAGGTCTGGGTTGCATTGTGTGTGGGAAAACTAGGGGAGAAGCTGAAAGCAATGTTGTTCTGAGATTAAGGGGAGGGAAAGGAGAAAGAAGGATGGGGGAATACAGAAGGTCACTAAACAGAGATGATCAAAATGGCCCTGTTTGATAGTCAGAGGATTATTTTGTTACTTCACCAAGAACAGCGGATTTTACTAAATCAACTTCATCCTTATCATCAGTATTATTGTTGATATTATTATTTGTTATCATATCACATAATTGTTTACACAATCATTGTCCAAGTGAAAATGACTCAGAGGATGTAGAGGTCTGGCATGCAATTCCACAATTCCCTTTTGAACCTTTTTCTTTTAATCTTACTGAGTTTTTAAGTACAGCTTCAAAATGCCACCCAAAGCGAAGAAAAGTAAATAATGTCTTGTAGGCTTTGAAGAAAGAATTATATTGTTGATTAGGTGGTTAATGATGCGAAGTATGTCTTTGATAGAAATGGTCTCAGAGCTCAATTTCTGAGCTTCCTTTTCACATGATTTGAAAAGAATGAGGTATAAATTCTGATTTATCGCCAGTCTAAACAATTTAGGAAAACCTATCTGACAGATATTAACTTATTACCTGATATTTTTAAAAAAATCTATTTATAAGTTTGACTGTCAAGGTGCACCAAGCATTACTTGGCAACATAACAGTTTACAAACATTTAAGCCAAAGACATTGGATTTCTTATAGTAAATATATTCAAGAAATAAGGTTTACAACTTCCTCAAGTTTAGCTTGAAGGTTTTTCTCATGGTATAAGGAGATTTTTAAAATAGATCTGGTATTCAATTTTTGGCAATAAGACAATGTCACAGGAGATAACTGCAACCCAAATAACATTCTGTACTTGATGTGAAATGTCTATTAGTGCCATTAGCCTATTGTAAATTTTGATGCGTCTATGATGAACATGTCTAGATGAGTACACTGCTGATTTACACTGCTATGGCTATATCACTTTCTATTGTCTCCTACTGTATACTGTGACCTAGGTACCCTTTAGATGTGTGGACTTCAACTGCTAATATTTATAACAGTGGCTCCAGTATTGGGGAATGGTTAAGTTCATACTTGTGAAAAGTACCCAAATTTGGGGGTGGGGGAGATCATGCTTACCATTCCAGAAGAATAGAAGAGGAAAAAGTAAAATAGCAACCATAGTTGCCAACCATGAAATCCTTTTACAATCTAAGGTGAACAGATTTAAAATTACTGTAAACTCAAATAGCACTTGCTTTAAAAAATTAAATTTCTGCATGAGCTGTCTAGATGGAAATTCTGAATATATGTAAAATTAAACCATGGTTGAATAGATGCAATGCTAGTCTTGAGGAATCTTTGGGCCTATTGCTGTCACAAATTTGGGCATCATCCAGCACACCATGAACTATATAAAGTATTTGCTTAAATCTTTGCGATTTCAAAATGACAACCATGACTAGATTTTTCTTAACAGTGGCTGCGCTAGCCTTGAGTGAATCATAATATTTCAAATTCAATCCACCATTTTAAAAAGACATAGTAATGTCATATTGTATTTTAAGAAAATAAAGTGCATACAACAATAAAATGCATTATGATGAAAATAAAGAAGTTATAGAAAGCATGTAGAACTTTCTTTTCAACCCATATAGAAATTGTTATGGCTGGGGAATTCTGGGAATTGAAATCCATATATCTTAAAGTTTCCCAGTCTGAAATACATTGCTCTAAGTCATATAATCAGGAGGAAGGATAAGGTGGCTTATAATGGAGGATGTGATTACATTCAGTTTAAAGGACTTGAAATGGAATGTTCTTCTCTGCATCTCTTGTCTAATCCAACCTATTTTTAAAATCAGCTTCTTCCCCAATTTTTGTTCCTATTCTGCTGTTAACCTGTTGGCAATCAGACACACAAACAGAGAAAATACCCTTATGTCACATCTTTCCCACTTTATGCTGTTGTAAAGAATAAAAATTACATTGTAAATATCAATTGTGCATTTTCATATTTTAACCATTATGAAAACCAACTAAGGCTGGATAATTACATCTGAAATTTGCAAATATATTGTACAATTGTGTTTCTGTGGCTCTTGAAGAATTGCTTCCAAAGTAAATTTCACTTCTGTTGGAAATTTGCTATATATATTCTGAACTGTCACTTTTGCCAGGTTTTCCACAAAAGTCTGAGTTGCTTTCAAATGTTATGGCCAATATGATAGAATACACCTAAAGCAATTAGTTTCATCTCTTTTAATTTAAATTACACTAGTAAGGAAATGAAATGAATATTCTGTTTTTGTTCTGACATTTTCCATTTCTTGGATCTATCCCTTTTGTAGAATGCAGCACTGGCAAGGGCGCTCAGAAACAAAATGTAGCCTGAGGCGAAGGGAAAAAATGTACTAAATTAAAAAATAAACACCTGAACTAAATATTTGTTTTGCAAGTTCTTCACTGGCTGAAGGAAACCATCATTTAATTGGAACCTAACAGAAGGTTTTAAGATAGACATAGGGGAAAGATGCATATGTCTTTATCTTCACTTTAACCATCAAATTACTATGATATCACTTTTTAAGGTTTATATGCCTACTAGAAATGCTTATTTATTTAGAGATTGTGCCTCGTGTGTTTTAATGGGATAGTGCTTTTTTGAAAGTGAAATTAAATAAATAAAATAAATGAAAAAGAAAATATAATATTGAAATATAAAAGGCAAAATAAAATCAATATAGCAGCATTACTTTAAAATGATGTTATATAGTGCCAGTGATAAATTAATTCTATTAGTTGGCAGTAAAGGCCAATTTTTTATTTAGACATTTAAAGTTTTGACTGGATCCTTATCAATTGCTTAAAAGCTGTAGAAGGAATAGACAGAAAGAAAAGCAGATAAAGAAGTTGGTAAATATAACCAACCCTGGGAATTCTATTATCAGGATACAAGGATGTCCTTTATAAGGCCATTCCTAAAACCTTTGAAAATCTTACCAGTCTGAATTACATGAATCAAAACTGACGTTTGGGCAATCTGATCCATGCTGTTTAAAAAAAGGGGGAGGGGGTGGCACAAATAGTATTTATATTTTTATCTAGAATCACCAAAGACTCCCATGCTTCATTTGAGTAATCATGTCAAAAATTTGGTTGAATATTTTATATAACAGGCAGAATCCTTGTTAGTTTAACTTATTTACAATGCTTAAAAGAAAGATTTCATGTTTCTATATATTTTTAAAAAATAAATTGAAGTTGGGAAGATGAACATTGTCTGTCCTTACCTGTAATGACTACACCTTTCCTGATGTAACATAATTTGAAAGTGCACTTAGATAACAGTTATTAGACATACTTTATATGCAATTGACACAGGCAGGATTTTCTGCAAGACCTTTAGTGCTTATCTTGGTAGATTTATGATACCTTCTTGTTGTGTTTTAGTAGTCTAGCTCTGTGCAATGAAGTCTTTAAAAACAAAGTTGTAGTCATTCCACTTTTGTATGGATGTTTGAAGTAGCTGCAATAAACAACATATATAGCATGCGTGGGGAATTGTCTTCACCCATATTTATTTGCAATCCATTTTGTGGATGGTGGTGAATATTATTTTCATTCTTTTAGGCTGCATTATCATATTAGGCTGCATTGTCACTTATTCTATATCTATGCATGTAACTAGGTACTTGCTATACATGTTTCATACATGAAACATATATTTCATGTATGTTCTTGCTTTCTTTCTTTTTCATTTTTCTCCCTCTTTCCAAATTTGAATAGGATCACTAGTAGAAAAGTGAGATCTGAGAAACAACTTCTTTAAAGAAAAAGATGGCAATTTCTTCAAGCAATTTTTAGCAGTATCACTAAGAGGGAAATTTTAGTCTTTTTCCTGAAACTAGTTCTTCTCACTTTCTCTCATACAGTGAATAAAGGGTGAAATGTCTGTTGAAAACTTTATCATTATGAATATATTGCTTTCTAGACATCCCAACTTATTAAAAAAAAAGTACAGCAAACCTGAGCTATCTCTATTACAATAAATGTACAGTGGTACTTTAATACCGAACTGCTTCGAAACTCATCAAATTTGGGATTCAATGCATTTTGATGCAAAAAAATTGTCTCGATATTATAGTTTGTTTGGTACTCAATACATAAAAGAATGCAATGTAGTGTCAATGTCAGCTGCCTTGTGACTTGCTACATCATTCCTCATGAAAAAAATTTGTTGGGTAATACATTGCGCCTTCTGGACCCCATTAAAAATGAGAACCAAGGTGCCACTATATGAGGAAACAAATAATGTAGACTTATTATAGATTTATTGGAATAGAGGTAGCTCGGGTTTACTATACATATTCAATAACTGGGCCTTCTAGTTTTCAGGAATGCAATATATCCATAATGATAAAGTTTTTAATAGACATTTCACACTCTATTTCAGTGAGACCTGAGGATTCAAAATTTTCTTTGTTTCTTACCTTTTAAAATAATAATAAAAGAATGCATACTAATTGCCTGATTTTGTTTTTAAGAAATATTGAACATGAAAAAACAAAACATGTCATTCTCTTAAAAAAAGATTATCAATTATTAATTGTCTTGCAAATATTAGATAAATTCAACTAGAAATTGATTGATTGCAATGAGATTTATATTAAAGGTTTAAGACTGCAGCTACATGTTGGCTGATTGATTTTCTTGCAAATTTATTTAGGTTTTTAATCATGAATCTAGCTAAATCTGTGTATAGTCATCTACCAATAATTTTACAATCTACAGTTAACACAGTAACACAGGGTATGGGAAGATTTAACTGCAGTCACAAAAGTATGACACAACTGAAAAAATGATTGACTAAATTTTAAGCTATCTCTTCTATTACACATTCTGTAAAACTGTGCCATAATCCATAAAAATGACTTGGCAAATAGATTATTTTTTAAAAAAAAATCAGTTCATGAGTATAC